TTGGAGTTCAAGGCTACTTCTAAGTTAGTCACTTTTTCGGCAGTAGCAGCCTCGCGCTCGGTTGCAGCAAGAACGATGTCCTGGACTTCAGCCCATTTAGCCTTAGCTTCATCAAATCTAACCCTCAACAGGCTAATTTCTTGCCTAAGGGTTACCAGTTCTTGTTCGCTTTGCTGCAAATGAGCCTCCAAAACAACGGCCTCAGTAGCTTTGGTTTTCAGTTCCGAGAGGCGGAGAATAGTTTGGTCTCGTTCCGCCAAAAGCTGATTCCATTCAGAAGTAAGTTCTTCCTTCTTACGAATCAACCTTTGAAGGCCCTCATAAGCAAGAAAGTTGGCTTACAAAACAAGAAGAGGTAAAACTTAGAATACATTCACACAATAGTAGAAGAAGTAATAAAGGAAGAAAAGTGTACCGCTGCGGTGTTTTGCATGGCATTGTTCAACAAGCACTCTCCCGAGAGTGCCTGAATCTTTTCCTAGTCTTTTTTTTGAAGCCAAAGGCTTTAGATAATTAGTAAGCTCCACCGGCCGGGATAGCAAGTTGCATTCGGTAGAGACCGAAAGAGTAACGTTCCTCCTCCTTTGTGGATCTTCAGAAGCGACAACATAATTTTTCCCCAAATTACCATGAACTGGGGGCTGTGGAAGAGGAACATTTTCTTCATGGTAAAATGCGGCCGATAGAGGTGATGTAGCAATTGTTGGTAGAAGAGTGGATGAAAATGGAAGTGATGTAGCAGTTGATGGTGTTGGTGAAGGTGGAGATGGAGTTTATGGAGTTGAAGAGTGAGAAACAGCTGCATCAAATGCAGTGCTGGCTGTTAGATGCTTGCCAACCAAAAATGGTAAGGACCCGGTACTCAGCCCTGCAGCACTGGATACAGCAATTGGGGCCTGAAAATGGGAGTCGACATTTTCTACCAAATCATATTCTCCCCAAAGTGTCGATACATTGTCTTCAGTTCGTGTAACTATCTCAACAGATCGAGCATCCTGTTGAGATGATGAGAATCGTCGCCTTATATGTAGAGAAGCTCCCTCATCACTAGCTTCTTCTTCATCATCAATTATCACAGTGTCTATGACCGGCCCGGAAGGAGGACCAGTCGTCATCGCCACCAGAGATGGCTCGGGGGCATTAGTCTTTGCCCTCTTATTCTTTTCCCCGGTCGCGGAGGAACGTATTCTCTTTGGTTGCTTATTCTCCGGCCGGGGACTCTGTAAATAAATGTTTGCGCCCGAAGCAGGCCCGAAAATACCTGTTCGAGTAAGTGCTTCCTGAAGCATCCTCGCTGCATTAGCAGGATCAACAAAAACTTCCTCTTCGGGGACAGCAACAGAGCCCGCATGTAGACCTAATTTTGTGAACAAGTCAGAAGGGTTCAACCAAGTTCTCCATATACAAAAAAAATGGAAGCAATGAAAATTTAAATTACTATGATTTTTGGCCTTCCACCCGTATTTAAGGGCCATTTCTTTCCACAAATGAGTTTCGGGCGTCGTGACATCCAAGATCTTCTGAACCCACCAGTCCAAACCTTTCACCACCGGTGGGATCCATCGAGTTGCTGAAACATGCGAAGGGTAAAGAGTTGGCCATAAAAGAATATATAGTAAAAAGAAATACTAAACAAAAAGCTTACGAGTGCGGTTCCAGGTGACAGGAAAGGATGAAGCAATTGTCGGAATGATATCATTGGTGGCGACTGCAACGAACCGTTTCATCCATCCACGGTTGTTGTCATAATCTATGCTAGACAGCAAAGCATGGTGGCCACGCTTGCAGAGGTTTATCATTCCCCCGCGGAAGATTTTAGGAGAATAGAGATTCATCATATGAGCTAAGGTTAGCTCCTCTCCAGTTTTCTGGCATAAGCATCGAAGACAAGCGACTATCCTCCACACTAAAGGACTTACATATGCCAAACACACTTTGTAGCAAAGACAAAACTCCGCAACCATAGAATCAAGCTCCCCACTCAAAGAAAATATACCCAAAGTAAAGAGATACGTGTAAAAGTATGTAAAACCTTCCTTGAGAAGGGTCACTCGCTCCGATAGATCAGGAGCAATGATATCCAACTAATGGCAACGACAGTCTTCCTTCACAGCAGGAATACTGGAAGGACGAATTGAAGAAGGATACCTACTAACAACCCATGTACGAGGGTTAGCAATATGGGATTTCTCTTCAAGGTCCTTTGTGGTACTGAGTTTTCTTGGGATGATGGAATCCACCGTTGGAGGAGCAAAGTCCTCGGCTTTGTTCTTGTTCTTTGAAGAACCAACACACTTGGAGGAAAAAGCGATTCAAAAGGAAGGAAAAAGTTTTGTGTTTGAAGAGAATTAGAGAAAGGATGGAAAACAAAGATACAAACCATAAACTCGAGAAATTATGAAACGCAAAGGAAAATAATGTCGCATATAAGTAAAATTTTAGCGGTTAAATTCGTGGCCATGATTACCTCGATAATCGGTAAAAGATGTGTTGAATCGTGGGATGATGCGTGTTCAGGACATTAAATGCGGAGAAACGTGCGACTAATCAACTGTTAGAAACCTTCAGAGGGAATTATAGTAATTCCCGCCAAAAAGGTGTTTCTACCAGCTTCCTGGTAACACAAAGTTATGTCACTGGAAAGCAGGGGGACTATCTGTATAGGGTGAAATATGATATGACACGTGGTTGTCTAAAGTGAGGACATGTGGAACCCAAGACGGGATGGCCGAGGACCGAACACAACCATTTCGCTTTCACCAGAAAGGATAACGTTCATAAATGTGTTTTAAATGCTCTGCGCCTGGTGACATTTAATAGAGAATATTCTGCAACATTAAGAGCGACGGTCCGTTACAGAGAATTTGGCATTTATGTTCACCATTACGTCTTCATCAATGACCCTCATAATTGACATTAAAGGAGGACACGGTCCTAGAATCTCTTTCCCTATACATAGCTATAAGTAGTGAGCTCAGTTATTATTATAAAATGGACGAATTTTCTGGCAAAACTTATACTATATTTTATACAAAGCTTAATACAATCTTATTTTCTTGCTCTTTGATCTCCTAATTGCTGTGCCCAGAAACCTTGTTCCCGAAACTGTCATCTCTACTTTTTCATCTACATTTTAAGGCTAAGTATTATACATTTCTTCAATTATTATATTATTTCAGGATCAAGTTAGTTTACTTATCTAGAAATCACGTACAAATTTAACTGTACCGTTTTACGGGTAAACAATATCCGCATTCATTGATTCCCATTTTCGTTGCAATTTGTAAGTTGCACCGTATTATAATTGCTACCTATAAATCGCATTCATAATTGTGATTTATATGTCGAACTCCCCATTTCATATTTCGATTGCGATTTATATTTCGTATTCCTCAATCACAAAGTTATGAAAAAAAATTGCATTTTACAAATCCAGTTTAAGCTAACGAACATTACCTCAGTTAATTTAGACAAGTAAATTGCATTTCATTTATTCATTTTGTGTATTTTAAAATTCTCATAAAATTTACACATTAAAAATAGCCAAAACGGCACATTTTGGGAACCCAACCCCCCGCTCCCCAACTTTTGAAAGCCATTTATTATGAGTTTTTTTTTTTTATTGTTCCTTTTTGTATCGAAATACACCATGAATATGTGCATCAAAATTAATACTTAGTGTGTGTTTGAAAAGTTCAGTATAACTACTTGTTTATTTTATTACTGAGGTAGTAATTAAATACGCAGTATAATGTTTGCACAATATAATAATTATAAATATATTTATCTATTATAATATTGCTATTACTGTTCCACTGTCTCTTTTCATTTTCTTGAGCCGATGGTCTTTCGAAAATAGTCTCTCTACTCATCCGGAATAGGGATAAGGTATGCGTACACACTACCCTCCGTAGACCCACTTGTGGGATTCCACTGGGTTGTTGTTGTTGTTGTTGTTGTTATTGTTGTTGTTGTTGTAGTAGTATTTATCTATTATAATACAATTACAATGTAATTATCAAAGTTATATTTGACTGCACAAGGGTAATTGCATAATTAGATACTTTTTTATTTTAAAATAAAAAATTAAGTAATTTTTTAGATGAAAAAGTAAATAAAATTTAGTGAGTAACAAATATATGTGTATAATATTAAATAATATTTATTATCAATTATGTAAACTATATATTTTTATTTGTAAAATATAAATATTAAATATTTATAAAATAGTTACTAATACCGTAAAGAATAATTAGTATTTTCCAAATAACTATTCACTTGAACTAGTTAATAAATATTTTAAGTTTGAGTCTAAAATCTTTTACCAAACCATGTAAATATAAGATGGAATCATGATTTTTTGCATTGTTTGGATAACAAAAAAAAAAAACAAGATGAGAGTTTAAAAAATATTTTCTAAGACAAAAAATTATACCAATGAATTGAAAAGAAAGCTAGTAAGTACGAAATCTTTTTTAACAATTAAGAAAAAAAAGAAGAAAAAAAAAAGAACTAAAAAATAAAAAAGGAAGAAGCAAATTACAATACGAGAAGTTGCAAAATTGCATAAAACCACACTATAAGTAACGTGTTTGAAAAGGTTGGAAAACTAGAAGAAAAGAAGTGAAGGAAAAAAGTGTAAAAATAATAATAATATTGAAAACCAAAAAATAAAAAAGAATTTGAAAATTATCTTGTAAATACGCAAAATAATTATCACTTATATATTCTCACCTCCTTATAGGATTGGAGTATAAATATATCTCCTCAATTACTTATCCAATCAAACATGCTAAAATATATAATTATTATACTAATTATACACAAAAATTCAAGGTGGTTTCTCAAACATATCCTTAGCAATATGTAGCAAGGGTCAACAACTGTAAAAGGAGAAAACAATCCATTTGGAAAGTCCCGTCGTGTCGTGTCCTGTTTCCAGGTGCCGATCTCCTTGTGCCGGCAAAACCTCCGAAGCTCAGCCGCCCCATTATTATCAGATTTTCAACTTGGCCAAATGTCTTCGTTGAAGCATCTCCAGATCATCATCAACTTCTCTTGAACATCCTCCAGGTCCGTTAGTCTTCTCCTTCTACATCGTTGCGGAACACCAACTTTTCATCTTTATAGTTCGGATTCATTTTTGTTTCTTAGCTCAAAACTGCTTAAAACAAGACTTCATCCTGATTCAACCTTTTCCATAACTTCTTTCTGAGTTAGGATTCAATTTATAGAAAGCTTATTGTATACGACGTGCTAGGAATTGGCTGAATCATCTTTCAATTTCTAGAAAGCTTATATGTTTATTTCTCAATTTCCCCTTGTCAATTTCTTTTAAGTTCCCCCTCCTATTACTCTATCGCATGTACTGGTTAGAAAGAGTTGATTAATATCATAATGACGAGATGGACTAAATCACCACATTGGGTTGTTACCTCTTGCTGTGGTTGACGTGTCATTTTCATCTGGAAAGACACTAGTCACCTGCTACCACTCAGCTGTTACATTGACCTATTGGGAGTGCTTACACTACTTGAATTAGCATTGTTTTTTTATAATTGTGCGGAGGCCTTGTGAAATGAATTCACAGATTGTGCTATAACATATTGCTCTTTTTTACAGTTGCGCCAAAGGTTCCCTTTCTTTGATGTATCTCTTCTTGCCACTAAAACATGAATTCCTTGACACAGTATAATGTTTGTCACAAGATAGAATATACATTTAGAATAACTTGATAAGTCATTTCATCATATAGGCTGTCCTCGCATATAAAGTTCTGATTCTACATATGAACCACTTGGATGGTCGAAAAGTTTGAAAATGAGTGAAATTTCGCTGAAAATGTATTTGCTGATGTCAGATGTAGTGCCTTTCTGAGAATGATTTTTTCTTCATCGTCACCAGGGGTCTTTGTATTAAGCTGATAATCTTGTCAAATTTCATGCAGTTACAGAGGTAATTTTGTACAATAATGGTCTTGTAAAGCTTATTTCAATGGTAACAAAGTAAATTAGGCAAAAAGATCATCTTGCAAAAATGCTCATGAAGCATTTCTAGCAATAACTGGATGGTCCTTTAGCAGCGATCATATTATCCTGCACATTACAGAGTGTCGTTGGCGTTGTAAACATTATTTGATCAGCTGCTGTTTCTGAATAGGCGAACCTAAGACAGTGCATTTTTAAGTGGGCTTCAGATTCCTGGTTTTCTCAGTTATTTTACTGTTTTGCAGTTTTACCACTCTCAGCTGAAATGGTATGTAGGGACAATAGCCCCCGTGATGAGATTTACAGCTTAATCTGGAGTCAAGATTTTTCGCGATGCGAATAGTGTCAAATGACAGTCTGGTAGTGGATAGTTCAGAAATAGAGCCCATCTTATCTCATATTGCCATTGTCGAGGAATCTGAGGACACTTCACCTTCAACTGAAATTACATCGAGCGAGGATTGTTTGGAGACTGCTGGTCACCTGCCAAGTGTTGAAGTTGACGGAATTCAATCTTTGTCACATGCAGAACTATCCCAATGTCGCATATGCTTGGACAGTGAAGGTGTTGATTATGCGCTTAGTTATATGTAGACCATTCAGGAAGATATATTTCTCAATGATAAAGAGTATCTTTTCGACTACGTGAACTGTAATTACATATATACTTAGAATTGTTGTTGTTTACTGCACTTACAGCTGGAAGTTTGGTGACTGATTTTCAGGAGAAGATCTGATTGCACCCTGCCACTGTAAAGGAACCCAAAAGTATGTCCATAGATCATGTCTTGATAACTGGAGATCAACTAAGGTGAATTACCTTTTGCATGTTATCTTTAAATAGTTAGTGTCCATGTCCTAAAAGTAGCGGAAATTAAAATTCCATTGGAGAACATAAATTTTATACTCAGACTGCTCTGCAATTAGTTTACATCAAAAAGACCACGAAGCAATGCATAGAGCAGTTTATTTTGGAAATCTGACAGAATATCTGGAAAGCATTCCCCCAAATTATCCATTGTGAAGAACTAGTATGCGTTTATCTAGCTTTATAGCCCTTGAACTAAGACAAGGTATTTTGTGGTCGTTAGCGCTTATGCTATTGAAAGAAGCTATTAAACACTCTCATAAAGTGTTAATTCCATGTTTGCATAGTCCTTCCAGTTTAACCCAATGCAGTAAAAGGAGGTTCTCTTCTTTTTCCTCATTACTTTTTCCTCTCTTCTCCTCTTTTAACTCAGTCCCTTTTATTCATGATTCCCTCGGTGAATTTGTGGAGATAGTTAGAATTATTTGAACTATTGTGAGTCTTTGGGTGAAATTCTTCCCATTTTTCAAGAATCAAGATTGGGGTGCCACATGATTTTATCATAAGATGCATATATATTTTAATCCTATTGCTTTCTCATAGCAGTTTTTTTGGATCAATATTAATAGTAGTCGATGTACATCTCGTTAATTCTTTGAGTTTTCTTTTTTGCATTAAAAGCCTAAATTGTTCTTTGGAGAAAAAGGGATCACATACTTTCAACTTGTCATAAATGGTTATACTTTGTATAAGAGACCTGTTGTCATCTTCTTGTCTTAATGTTGTTGATGTGTTTGCGGCTCCATTTTCCAGGAGGGCTTTGCTTTTGCTCACTGTACTGAATGCAGGGCAAAGTTCATATTACGGGCAAACGTCCCACCTGATCGCTGGTGGCTGAGGCTAAAATTCCAGTTCCTTGTGGCGAGAGATCATGCATTCATTTTTCTCATTGTCCAGTTGGTATGGACATAAATCTTTTGCCATATCTTTCATTCTGTCTTATGTTCCTACCAGTTTTATAGTTGAAAAGTGGTGTATCTTGGCTATGGTTTATCTGTACCGAAGTTGCATGTAGCTATACTTTTCGTTTATGCTCTTCTAGCTTTGTATTTATTTACCACATGCTCAACACCTCAATTCACTAGTCCAAAGGTGGATCTTCAATGTTGTCAGTATGTTTTCTTCTGGGCTGCTGTCAGTAACTTACTATTCTTGTGATGGTGGTTTTACCATAATGCACAAGAAGATATTGTGGCCCTTCTACAAGAGTCCCCATCAAGTTTCTCACAGTAACAGATCTTCACGCTCACTGCCAAGCACAAGATTTCCGGAATCTTTTCACTTTTTTTACTTGAAAGAGAGCTTTGAAAGTCTTAATGACTTAATTAAGGCTGTGAAGCCTTGAGCTAATTTTTTGCTATTTTTATTAAAATTTGGTAAGGAAGATATTGGAATCTGATGTAAGTGTCATCTAGCACTTAGGATACTATACAGCTAGCTTTATGTCAGTGAATTTTCATATATTTAAAAGGGCCTGGGGATTCAGTTAATGGACAAATAATGACCACAAGATTCCACACTAGCAATTAATCAAATTTGCTTCCACCAAATCAGCTAGGACCGGTTATATGAGTCTTCTGTACCAAACAGCTTGGAAGTGAATCTGCATTGAGCATGTAATGTACAAAATCTAGGGTGAAAAGACAACCGATTATTTAGAGTTTTAGCATTTACAACTATGATGTGAGACCTTGAGTAGGTTCATATAATATTTTAGGACTTGTACGTATATTAGATTCGGGTTTGGGTCTCGGGTAGCCTGGGATTGATTCACCGCTTCTAGTCGAAAGTTAGAATTTTGAATTTACGAAAGTTTGAGGTTTTTGGTTTGATGCTTGATTCTTGGTATTGATATTGTTTTAAATTTTTCTAGCCTTTGGATTAGATTTTGTACGATATGCAAACTTATTAAGATGATTGGACGGGGTTCCTTGGGCACGATTGAGTTTTGGTATGGTTTCGAATCATTTTGAGCTAAGTTGAACTTTTGAAGTGTGGTGCAGTTGTGCCTGCGATGCTGAGGTCACAGATGCGGAGGTTGCACTACAGACAGGGGTGCACATCTGCGGATGTATAAATCGTTGAGTTTTTGTCTGTACAATTGCAGCTTATTAATCTTATATAATTGTTTCCATGCATATTAATTGTTTCCAGTAAAGAATCTGTATTTTTGGTGTTATAGTAGTACTCTGGATAGGATGGATTAGTACTTGGATTTTTTGTACCTATTAGGGGTAAACATGTAGTATGCCTGATGTAAGAGCTGCAGATATGTCTTGTACTTTTTTTCTGTACCATCTTGGTACCAGTTTAATAAAAATCTTTACCTTATCAACAAAAAAAATATTTCCAGTGACTGTCATCTTTACCTTATTAAAAAAAAATGTTTCCAGTAACTGTCTCTACTGATTGTTGAATGAACAATTCTCACAGATTGTAGCATTCTTAGGAGTACTTGTGTACAAGTTTTATGGGGAGGAACTAAGGGAAATGTTTGGCTACCGAGAGCATCCATATGGCTTCTATACAATGGCAGGTATTTTCTGACTTAATCTATCATTACCCTTCTTTTAAACTTGTGAACCACTTAATGTATGCTTGTGGGTTTACAAATCACATCTTGATTGCGTATCTTTTTGTCAAAATTTTGTCATAATATATTCAGTGTTGAACACTGATCATCTATCCAAAGTTTCTAAATGTATAGTCCTTGTTGATGTGACATGGCTTCTAGAGACTTCTTAGGCAGTGTTTGGTTTAGAAACTATTTGGTTGTGGGAGGATTGGTTTTGATTTTGGTTTCTTTTTCCTAGAAAAGTTGTACGTGTTTTGAATTGGGTTTAGGAGAACAAACTGAATTTACATCTTTAGATACCATTACATGTATTTGTGGAAAATAAATTCTGAGGGAAAAATACAAGAATTTGATTTTGGCGATTAGGGGAGAAACTGCATTGTCCAAAACCTGAAAGGGGGGTGAAAGGAAAAGGTGCTAGCATTTGTTCTTTGTTTTGTTTTCAAGAAAGCTGTCACTGCTCTATTTTTAGGTAGGTCTTGATTTCTCCATGATGATTGTCCATTAACGATGGTTATTTGCCAAGATACCTACGATGGGAATAATTTCCTTGGCTGATGCATATATACATGGAAAAGGTAAACATATACCTCTTACCCCCTTCCTTAACAGTATGGAGATACTTGGAGACCGGATACATTGATTGCAATATACAATATCCTGACATTTAAACCTTATATGAGGTTGATGCTGAGACATTGTAATGTGCTTTATGTGTATTTAAACATTCAGCTCAATCGGTTCTAGGGGAGGAAAAATAAGCATGGTATGATGTGGTCTATGAGAAACAAGGGAAAGGACAATAAGATTAGGATTCAGATGCTTGAATTTTTAAATTACAACCAGAAGATTTGAGTCGTCTGAATCTTTTTTGGAGTCGAATTTGTTTTCTAGAAGACTCTGACAAAGGGAAATGTGTCCTCCATTTGGTGCATCTACTGCAGCCATTCTAATAAAGTTTACTGGATTGAAGATATTCCTGTGCAAGATTTGTGCCTTCAAAATGATTTGAGCCTTTACCTTCCCAACCCCCTTACTAACTAACCGACTAATATGTCTTCTTTGGTTTAATTTTGCAGTTTTGGCAATCATATTGGTGGGGTTGCTTTATGGTTTCTTCATAGCAATAATTTGTGGACAGAGAATTAGTGAACGTCATTATCACGTTCTTGCCAAAAAAGAACTCACAAAGGTTTTGCATCTACTGCTAAGACATAGACTTGTTCCGTTCACCTTCTAATTGGAGACGAACATCTGTTAGTGAAATATTGAAAAATTTGCAAGTTGAGCAGTGTCAGGCCCCTTTCCTTGGGAATATAATTCACCTTCATATGGGGCTTCTTTTCATGCACACTGGATTTTATTTGTGGATAATTTTAGTTCCACCTCTTCAATCTAACCTTTCATTTATGGTAGTACTCCCCTTGTTTTATTAAGAAATATTAAGGGGTCGTTTGGTTTACGGTCTAGTTATGTGAGAGTTATAATGTAAGTATTGTTTATACGGTGAATAATAATGCAAGGATTGTTATGGGTGAAATAATGCATGAATAGTTATGCGGTGAATAATAATAGACGGATTATTATGTAGTTATGTAAGAGTATGTAGTTAGATACTCTTATCCACGTATAGCTAATACATCTATGCATCTCGTATAAGTTATACCGGAATTATAGTGCAGTGTTTGGTTACCGATATTAAATTCCGCATCCTGCATAACTAATATAATCTCTTTATAACTAATACATGGTTTGCTTTCTTCATCAGAAACCAAACGATGTATAAGTAAGTAATATGGAATTTATATGGAGATAAAATTTTCTTATGCTTCAAATCAAATGAGTTTAATTTGCTTATACTTTTATTTTTGTATTGACAGGAATACGTGGTAGAAGATCGGGAAATGCTAAATAAAGAAGTTCCGGAACTTGATCCTAGCCACGTTACGGAGCTAAGAATGTTGGGGCTCTACTGAGATTCATGTCAGTCTAGGTTGGTAGTCTAGCTACAATGACATGCAGTATTTATATGTTGAAATTACACCCAAAATTTTGGTCATATTGACATGTTTGGCTGCACAAATTATACTGCTCCACCCTTTCTGATATTAGGTGTGATCAAGAATAGGGACTAGAAAGCTAATCCGAAAAAGAATAACTCTTAAAAGTGATATTGAAAACCTTGGTAATTATGAGTATCAATTCAAGAGTGGAAGCGGGTCAGTCCCCGAAAATGCCAGGTACTTTGGGGCCAAATAAGATTATTAACTGGCTTATCCGCCATTGCTATCGTAAATTGACTATCCTGTTAATGCACCAGCTCCTAGCCTGTCGTGCTCTTCCAGTTCTATTTTGAGAGTCATCATAGCTCTTTTGAACCTATAAAAAAGAATGTCTGGGCTTTACTTAGATTCATGGCAATCTAGGTTGTTAGTCTAGCTACAATGACATGCCATATTATATTTTCAAATTACACATGAAATTTTGGTCATATTAACATGTTTGGTTGCATAAAGTTATACTGCTCCACCCGTTCTGGTATTAGGTGATCAAGAATAGGGACTAGAAAGCTAGTCTGGAAAAGAATAACTTTATTAGGTGATCAATTATCTTTGCATGACAGGTGTTATTGTTTTCCCAAGATTTGATATATTTTGCATCATACAACATATTCATGACAAAAAAAAGAGATGCTTAGTCGCAATCCCTCGTTTTTTGAGTTCTGATATATGTATTTTTTTCTTGCTGACTTTGTCTTGTACTAGTATTCTTGGTAATATTTGAATAGTTTTGCGGTTTTGTATCCAATGCAGCAGTGCACCTCACCCTCACTGGATTTTATAAATATAGTTTAACCGAGAGGATATAAGATAACTCCTGCCATCTTATGGTTATAACAACAACCCAGTGGGATCCCAAATGTGGGGTATGGGGAGGGTAATGTGTATGCAGGCCTTACGAAGGGCAGAGATGCTGTTTCCGAAAGACACTCAGCTCGAGAGTAAGAATAAGAACAAGTAAATAACAACAAGGCCAGGAAAATGATATCAACAATGTAAGGACCGGAGAAAAATAAATGGAGCAATAGCAATAGCAAAAGTAATGGCCACAAGCAATAACACGACATGGTAGTAGAAAATCGAAGCGGAAGATAGTACTAAAACAACCCTAATATTGACATTCTAAGAATCGAAGACAATGTACTAGTCAGTTAGCCCTAATAAACCTGGAATAGATCAGAAAAAAACATGACGACCTATTACCCTTCTACCCTAATCTTCGACCTCCATACCCTCCTGTCAAGGGCCAAGTCCTCGGTAAGCTGAAGTCGCACCATGTCCTGTCTGATCATCTCTCCCATGTACTTCTTAGGCCGCCCTGGCCGCCCTCTACCTCGTTTCCTACCTGCCAGCGCCAACCGTTCACACCTCCTCAATGGAGCATCTAGACTTCTCCTTCTCATATGCCCGAACCATCTAAGTCTCGCTTCACGCATCTTATCTTCCATAGGGGTCACGCGCATTTTCTCCCGAATAATCTCATTCCTAATCTTGTCTAACCTAGTGTGCCCGCACATCCATCGCAACATCCTCAATTCGGCAACGTTCATCTTTTGGATATGAGAGTTTGTGACTGGCCAGCATTCTGCCCCATACAACATAGCCGGTCTAACCGTTGCCTTGTAGAACTGATCCTTAAGTTTTGGTGGCACATTCTTGTCACACAGAACGCCGGATGCTAGCCTCTATTTTATCCACCCCGCCCCTATATGGTGTGTGACATCCTTGTCAATCTCCCCGTCCCCCCTTGGATAACTGCGGACTGCCATCTTCTGGTTATGCTGCCAAAAAATATGATTGAACCAACAGAGTGTACTAAACCAGACTGGCTTTTGTCGAGGGGTGAAGGCTCTTTTTATAGCTTATAAACACTCGACCCATGGTGACAACTTACCTACTTTCAGAGGCAATAACTTCTACCTGGAGAGCTTGTCTAACCTGTTTGTTTCCTGTTGATTCTATTTCATTCCCTAAGCAGAATTTTGAAATCCTGCTTTCTTCAAATGCACTAATTAAGCTGCTAAATTTTGGTCCCCTGCTTAATTTTATAGTCTCGTTTAGAATTTTGTCGTGGTTAAGAACTGGATTAACAAAATTTCCTATAATTGCCTCATTTTGGGTGCAGGCATGATTGACAAATCAAATTATCATGCTTGTTACGGAGATGGGTGGCATTAGGCAAAAGAGCTACAAACTCTATCTTACGCCATACGTTGAGTAATGACTATTATGGTTCACCTTCAAGAGACGATTTTTCAACATCAAGATGAAAAAACTTTTTCACCAAAAGGAAATGTCTTGTTCCACTTTAATTTTCTTGGTAGTATAATTTTTTTTTCTCGACTGCCTCCCCTTGGCTATCTCTAGGAGTGGCAAATGAGCCGTTTCAGTTGTATTTTGGGCTGGTCAAGATGTGCTGACTCATTAAATTGGTCATTGACAACTTTTTCCAAAGTTTACTTAGGTTAAGATGAGCTAAGTCAAAATTGGCTAAACATTGGGCTGTAAACTAACTCGCCCAATTGGCCCAATCTTTTGCAATATTCTAAACTTCTAAACAAACATATATAAAAAAATTCACATATATAACAATCATTTTTATTTTAATTTCTCGGTAAATGGTTTATGATGATTTTTTGTCCTTTTTTTCTTGTTGCTTCTTGTCTTATGTTTTGGTACAAACGTAAATTCACGCCTAGTGATTTCTTTCTTTAATTTGGATTTATAACTTTATTTTATAGTTCTTTTATCTAATAAGACTAACAAAGATCAGAATAATAAAAAAAGCAGTAAAATTAGAACTTTGGGTAAAATTGTACAGGCAATTCAGCTTGAAATAATTTTCTTTAGTGAATACATTTTGTGGAAGAGAGAATGTGAGAGAAAGAACATCGTGAAAAGAAAGAGAGAATCCTGATATTTTTCTAGGATCGTTGGGAATTTTTTTTTAAAGAAGAGATATAAAAGGGATCAAAATTGATCTTGTTATAAATAATATTAAGAGTGAATATCCATGTATTATGAAATTACTTGGGAGCAAGTTAGTTAGTCATAAACTAGTCTAGTTACTTGGTCACTAAAATTAGTTATTTGCTCACCAAGATTTGTTACTTGGCCACCATGACTAGTTACTTGGTCACCAAGCAACTCTCTTATAAATAAGAGACTTCTCCACTTATTTGGAGAAGATCATCAAGAAAAGTTCTAGTATTATCTCTCTCTAAATTTCTCTTATGTTACTTTATTTCATATTATTCCATAACACGTTATCAGCACGAGACTCTACCGTCTCAAGAAGCTTTTTTAGAAGACTAAGGTATAATTTTCCCCCTCTTTTAATTATGACTGATATTATTAAAAAAGAGTTCGTTGCCCGTGAAATTTCGGACAAGAACTATGTCATGGGTGTTGGATGCTGAAATTCATTTAGATGCAATGAGACTTGGAGACGCCATTAAAGATAAAAATAAAGCATTCACCGAAGACTGTGCTAAGGCCTTGATTTTCTTGCGCCATCACCTTGATGAAGGGTTGAAAATAGAATATCTCACAGTCAAAGATCCACTTGTTTTGTGGAATGGCTTAAAGGAAAGATATGACAATTTAAAGTTGGTCACACTTCTACAAGCATGATATGATTAGGCTCATCTAAGGCTCCAAGACTTTAAGTCTGTTTCTGAATACAATTCGGCGACGTTTAGAATTACTTATAAATTGGAACTCCGTGGAGATAGTATCACTGACTATAATATGCTTAAAAAAACTTTTACAATGTTTCATGCCTCATGTGGTCTTGCAACAGCAGTACATAGAGAAAGGTTTCAAGAAGTACTCTGAGTTGATTTCTCTTCTCCTTGTGGCTGAACGAAACAATGACTTGTTCATGAGAAATCACGATAATCGATCCACTAGGTCTACACCATTGCCTGAAGTGGATGAGGTGTATTCTCATTATGTTAAGCGTGAAAACGGTCGTGGCCCTGTTCATGGCCAAGGAAGAAATTTTTCTGGTGTTAATCATCCCCAAAGAAAAATAACCACCAAAAGTGGAAAGGAAAAAAATGAGAAGCCAAAGAAAAGGGGTTTAGAAACTGAATGCTATCGTTGCGGTGGAAAAGGGCATTGGGCAAATATTTGCCGTACACCAAAATATTTGGTTGAGCTTTAAACAAGCATCTCGAATGAATAAAGGCCCACAAGCCAATTTTGTCTCTGACAATAAATTTGACATCACCCATTTGGATGCGGTAGACTTCTTTGAGCACTCCGATGGAAAAATAGACCACTTGATCGGTGATGGATCCGTGGTTAAAGATGATTGAGTAGTTTGATTTTTATTTTCGTCTATTTATAATAGCTAGTGAATAAACATCATGTAATCGTAGTTATTTACATGAGTAGTAGTTATTAGTATCATAATCAGAGTTGCTCGAAATTGCATTAAAAAGTCATTATTGAATCATTAATTTAACTTTGTTTCTTTTTCCTGTTTCTCTGAAAATATTAATGTTTATTCGTATATTTCTTTTGTATCAAATCATGGGAAGCAAATATGGATACCTCACAAAACAAACTTGTATCCAAGTTTAATTGTAGAAATATTTATTTAATTGATTCGTCTACGACACATACAATATTCAAAGAGAAGAAATATTTCTCTCATTTAAGTATGTGTAAGGCAGATGTTATTACAATTTCTGGTTGTAGTAATCTAATTGAAGGCTCTGGAAGAGCTACTATAACTCTGCCTAGGGAAATAATACTTATCATAGATAATGCATTGTTCTCCTCCAAGTCCAAGAGTAACTTGTTGAGTTTTAAAGATATCCGCTGAAATGAATATCATATTGAGACAATAGATGAGAATAATCTTGAATATCTCATCGTTACCAAGACTGTCTCTTTCCAGAAAAAGGGTTATTGAGAAGTTTTCATCTTTTTCTTGTGGCATGTATTGGACAGGAATTAGTGCAATTGAGGCACGCTTTATCGTAAACCAAAAAGTTACTGATCCCAATACTTTTGTACTTTGGCATGATCGATTGGGACATCCTGAATCAATTATGATGAGACGAATTATAGATAACTCAAATGTACATCCATTAAAAGAATTTAAAAGACAATAGATGAGAATAATCTTGAATATCTCATCGTTACCAAGACTGTCTCTTTCCAGAAAAAGGGTTATTGAGAAGTTTTCATCTTTTTCTTGTGGCATGTATTGGACAGGAATTAGTGCAATTGAGGCACGCTTTATCGTAAACCAAAAAGTTACTGATCCCAATACTTTTGTACTTTGGCATGATCGATTGGGACATCCTGAATCAATTATGATGAGACGAATTATAGATAACTCAAATGTACATCCATTAAAAGAATTTAAAAGACAATAGATGAGAATAATCTTGAATATCTCATCGTTACCAAGACTGTCTCTTTCCAGAAAAAGGGTTATTGAGAAGTTTTCATCTTTTTCTTGTGGCATGTATTGGACAGGAATTAGTGCAATTGAGGCACGCTTTATCGTAAACCAAAAAGTTACTGATCCCAATACTTTTGTACTTTGGCATGATCGATTGGGACATCCTGAATCAATTATGATGAGACGAATTATAGATAACTCAAATGTACATCCATTAAAGAATTTAAAGATTCTTTTAAATAATGAATTTTCTTGCACTTCTTATTATCAAGGCAAGTTAATTATTATACCATCACCAACAAAGATTGGGATTGAGTCCCCTGCGTTTTTAGAACGTATAAAAGGGGACATTTGTGGACATATTCACCCACCTAGTGGGTCGTTTAGATATTTTATGGTCTTACTAGATGCATCTTCTAGATGGTCTCATGTGTGCCTATTGTCATCTCGCAACCTGACATTTGCAAAATTAATGGCACAAATAATTCAATTACGGGCACAATTCCCCAATAATCCAATTACGTTTATTAGACTTGATAATGCTGCTGAGTTTTCATCCCAAGCATTTAATGATCATTACTTATCAATTGGGATAAAGGTGGAACATCTTGTAGCTCATGTTCTCACTCAAAATGGCCTTGCAGAGTTTTTGATTAAACGTCTGCAATTGATAAGAAGACTGTTACTCATGAAAACGAGGTTACCCACTTCTGTTTGGGGTCATGCCATTTTGCATGCAGTAATGCTAGTTCGTCTCAAACCGACAAATTATCATAAGTATTTTTCGGTGTAATTAGTTTTGGGTCATGAACCTAATATATCCCATTTAAGAATTTTTGGGTGCGCAGTATTTGTGCCTATAGCACAGCCATATCGCACCAAGATGGGTGATAAGTTGGATTTTTAGCCAATGTCTCTTGTATTTTTATAAGATTTTATGCCCTATTTATTGGAAAAAAAGTAACTAATTATGCTTTGAATAGCTCGATTTCAGGTAATGAAGGTTTGAGCACGCTTAAAGAATGGAAAATAATCAAAAATATCAAGAAAAGACCAAGTCCAAGTGAAAAATAGAAGAAAAGTTGAAGTTTGAGCTGAAGACCCTGCATAGCCTTGCATAGGCAAACTTGCGTAGGCTACGCAGAGGAGGACCTGAGAAGTAAAGATTTGAAGACATTCTGTTTTTGCCTACGCAAACCTGCGTAGGCTATGCAGATATCCTACGCAGAGGAAAAAAGGTGAAGTGTTCAAACTTGCGTAGGCTACGCAATTAGCCTACGCCCATGCATCCAGCCTACGCAATTGACCGAAGGGCAATTTTGTCCTGTCGTGGGGCTTAGTATAAATAGCTATTTTTAGTCATTCTAGGTTATTTTTTTGGAAGGATACTTATGTAGCAGCTGTTGGGGATTTCTTCTTGAGGAATTTGGGTGACTTCACTATTGTTCTACATAATCTTTCTTTCCTCTTTAGCTATTATGTTTAGTTTTTCATCTCTTTTTGTATTCTCCCTTCTTAATATGTCTAGCTAAGTTTATTAAGATAGGATTGTGAACCCTAAGTGTGGTTATATTTTTTGGTTATTAATATAAATTCAAAATTTGATTAAGCTTTGTGTTATCCAATTACTCCATGATTTATTGATTGATTTTTTTGGTTGCAAACACTAAATCCATACCTATTTTGCTTGTTCTAGCTTGGAAGAGTAGAACTTAGCTTAGGTATAAAGTAATTAGCAAGAAATTAAGTGGGTTAACCATTTGATTAACGAAATCTAGCTAGGAATAGTGTGATTTCTACTTGGGCTAATCAATTGCTTATCATTGAGCCTTAGTTGTCTTGGAGGAGCAACTTAGGGTAGAAACCTCTCAAATGTTGGAAGACATTAAGTTGGTAGAATCGAAATTGAGGTCATAATACATGCTTAATTAACTAGAATTGACGATTTGTATACCCAAAGCATAGCCTACACGAGGGTAAGTAATCCTAGCGCCTTTCTCTTATTTTTGTTATAACTACATCTTAATTGCACTCTATGTGTTTGATAGAATTCCTTAGTTAAATTTTTGTAGTAATTGTAGACATAATTGAACAATCACTCTTTGTTTGAAGATTACATTAAGAATCATCAAGTTTGCACTCATTTGGACACTCTAACACACACCTACTCCTTGTGGGATTCGACCCCAACCTTTGTTGGGTTTATTATTCCTAACGACCATGCTACTTTCATATAGAGAGTAGGATGGACGTCACTAATGGGTCCCCAAAGAAGGTTAGGAATATGTGTTGGGTTTGAATCGCCCACCATTATTTGCTACCTCGAAACATTAACGTGAGATTTATTCACTGCTCGATTTGCAGATTGCTGATTCGATGAGACATTTTTCCCAAAACTAGGGGAGAAAATAGTAAACCAAACGAGAAATTTTGTGGAAAAATCCATCACTGTCTCATCTTGAATGAATTAATGCCTAAGTTTGAATCTTGATTTGGTTGAGGACAACCAAATTGTAAGTTTGGGGGAGTTGATAAGTTGGATTTTTAGCCAATGTCTCTTGTATTTTTATAAGATTTTATGCCCCATTTATTGGAAAAAAGTAACTAATTATGCTTTGAATGTCTCGATTTCAGGTAATGAAGGTTTGAGTACGCTTAAAGAATGGAAAATAATCAAAAATATCAAGAAAAGACCAAGTCCAAGTGAAAAATGAAAGAAAAGTTGAAGTTTGAGCTGAAGACCCTGCGTAGCCTTGCGTAGGCTACGCAGAGGAAGACCTGAGAAGTAAAGATTTGAAGACGTTCTGTTTTTGCCTACGCAAACCTGCATAGGCTATGCAGATATCCTACGCATAGGAAAAAAGGTGAAGTGTTCAAACTTGCGTAGGCTACGCAATTAGCTTACCCCCATGCATCCAACCTACGCAATTAATCGAAGGGCAATTTTGTCCTGTCGTGGGGCTTAGTATAAATAACTATTTTAAGTCATTCTAGGGTATCTTTTTGGAAGGATACTTATGTAGCAACTGTTGGGGATTTCTTCTTGAGGAATTTGGGTGACTTCACTATTGTTCTACATAATCTTTCTTTCCTCTTTAGCTAGTATGTTTAGTTTTTCATCTCTTTTTGTATTCTCCCTTCTTAATATGTCTAGCTAAGTTTATTAAGCTAGGATTGCGAACCCTAAGTGTGGTTATGTTTTTTGGTTATTAATATAAATTCGAAATTTGATTAAGCTTGGTGTTATCCAATTACTCCATGATTTATTGATTGATTTTGTGGTTGCAAACACTAAATCCATACCTATTTTGCTTGTTCTAGCTTGGAAGAGTAGAACTTAGCTTAGGTATAAAGTAATTAGCAAAAAATTAAGTGGGTTAACCGTTTGATTAACGAAATCTAGCTAGGAATAGTGTGATTTCTACTTGGGTTAATCAATTGCTTATCATTGAGCCCTGGTTGTCTTGGAAGAGCAACTTGGGATAGAAACCTCTCAAGTGTTGGAAGACATTAAGTTGGTAGAATAGAAATTGAGGTCATAATACATGCTTAATTAACTGGAATTGACGATTTGTATATCCAAAGCATAGCCTACACGAGGGGAAAGTAATCCTAGCGCCTTTCTCTTATTTTTGTTATAACTACATCTTAATTGCTCTCTATGTGTTTGATAGAATTCCTTAGTTAAATTTTAGTAGTAATTGTAGACATAATTGAACAACCACTCTTTGTTTGAAGATTACATTAAGAATCATCAAGTTTGCACACATTTGGGCACTCTAACACACACCTACTCCTTATGGGATTCGACCCCACCCTTTGTTGGGTTTATTATTGCTAACGACCGTGCTACTTTCATATAGAGAGTAGGATTGGATGTCACCAATTTTTGGCGTCGTTGCCGGGGAGTACTGTGTTCTTGTGTTACTTTGTTATTGTGTGTTTTCTTGAGTTCTTATCTTTTCTTCGTGATACTTTGATTCGTGTGTGCTTGTTGTAGGTTACCAATGGCAAACAACAATGAACTTGGTGATTTGCCTCTTGGGGCCATTGGTGAAGATATGGTAGATGAAGAAGCGGCTCCGGTTCAAGGAAACCGGCGTGGTCGAGGTCAAATCCACCACCAACCTCCGCCGCATCCACCACCACTACCTCCACATGGCCAACCAGCTCAACAACATGCCACACTAAATGATGGCTATGCAAGTGCAATTGTCCCCCCTCGTATTAGGGCGGGAAATTTTCAAATTACAAATGTCATGCTCACCTTGCTTGAGCAAAGAGGCTACTTCACCGGAGCACCTTATCAAAATGCATACAAGCACTTAAAGGGAATCGTAGATGCTTGTTGGGGAAGTAAGCAAACAAATGTATCCGAGGACGCTTTGAAATTAAGGTTATTTCCTTTCTCCCTAAGAGGAAAAGCCTTGGATTGGTTGGAGCGCTTACCAAACCATTCTATCCATACTTGGGATGAGTTGGCGGAGAAATTTATTGCCAAATTCTTCTCACCTGGGCACATGGCTACATTGAGGGATGAAATCTTGGCATTCAAGCAAGAACCGAATGAGCCACTACACGAAATTTGGGAACGCTATAGAACCATGGTGAAGGAATGTCCTAACAACGATATAACCGAGAACATATTGCAACAAACCTTCTACCGTGGGATTAACACAACCAATCAATGTGTAGTGAACCAACTTGCCGGTGGAAACTTTATGACCATGCCTTACCCGGAGGCTTGTGTCATACTTGATGAGATGGCAGAGACATCATCCGCTTGGCAATCCCGAGAGAATGTGCCTCAAGGGGATCCGAATATGATTCACCTCAACAAGGAGTTGCATGATCATGGTCAAGCCATTACCGAGTTGACCACCACTATACAAAAGTGCAACTTCAACAAACTCAATCTTCGCGGCAAGTACATGCCGTGGAGGGTGTTCATGTATTGGGATCTAAGCAAAATATGAAGGGTAATCAACGTCAACCTCAAGAGGAGATGTACTCACAAGATAATGGACGCTACACTCAAGATGATTCTTATCAAGAGCAAAATGAGTAAGTTCAATTTGTGAGTAACTATCAAAATCAATGAGGTAACTTTCAAGGAACTAGCCAAGGATAATGGAGTTCGTGTAATAACCAAGGCAATTGGGGCAATAACAATCAAGGAAATCAAGGTTGGAGTGGCGGTAATCAAGGTAATCGAGGTGGTGGATCTTCCCAACAATATCAACAAAGATCCTACCAACCTCCTCCATACAACAACCAAGGTGACTCTTCAACTGATAACCAACTTTTAGGGATGATGGAAAGGATGCTCAAGAATCAAGAGCAATCCGACAAAGAGAGGCGAGAAATGAATCAAGTGGTAGCTTCTCATACTACTTCAATCAAGCAAATTGAGACTCAATTGGGTCAAATATCTTCTCAATTGAATGTGAGACCACACGGATCATTGCTTAGTGACACAATTCCAAATCCAAAGAGAGATGAGGGTATAAAGCGAGTGTTTGCCATTTCCACAAGGCGGAGCAAAATTCTAAAGAAGAGATCCATTGTAGTTGAGGATGACGACGACGAAGAGGAGTTGCCTCTCAAATATGCTTTTCCTAAGGTCAAGAGTCCCAAAGTTTCTAAGGTGGCTCTTCCCAAGGTTGAGGATCCTCCTAAAGTTGATGAAGTTCCTAAGCAAGATGTACCTCTCATGGTCAATGAGAGGCCCGAGGTGATTGAAGTTCCCAAGTGTGCGGTGCCAATAGTAAGTCCAATTGTTGTTGAAGAGGTGCACCAAGCACCAAGTACCTCTCAAAATTAAAATGAAGTCCCTTCAAAGGAGAAAGAACCAATAAATGAGGCAAGCAAGGAGGCACCTAGATTGTACAAGCAATTACCGAGACTGCCTCCTCCATTTCCACAAAGATTTGCAAAGCAACAACAAGAAGGCCAATTGCAAAAGTTCTATGATATGTTGAATCAAATCACCATCAATGTACCTTTTGTGTAAGCTCTTGAAAAGATGCCAGGTTATGCTAAATTCATGAAGAACTTGGTCACTAAGAAGAAGAATGTTAATTTTGAGACCATCAAGGTCACCCACCAATGTAGTGCAATCATCTCACAAACCAGGGTTAAAGTAATGGAATACTCGGGGGTTTCACTATTCCTTGTGCTATTGGGTTGACAAGCTTCGCAAAAGCTTTGTGTGATTTGGGGGCAAGTATCAACTTGATGTCTTATACCGTTTTCAAGAAGTTGGGCTTGGGTGACCCAAGGCCTACATCAATGAAATTATTAATGGCGGATCGTACTTTGAAGAGGCCACTTGGTGTGATTGATGATATTCTTGTCAAAGTGGATTAGATTCTACTTCCCCGCGGATTTTGTGATTCTTGATTATGAAGTGGATGTAGAAATCCCGATCATTCTTGGTAGGCCTTTCTTGGCTACCGGGAGGGCCATATGTGACGTTGAAGCCAGAGAGCTCAAATTCCGGTTGAATGATGAAGAAGTGGTATTCCACATCCAAAAATCAATGAAGCATCCACATGACTATGGAGTGATATCCGTGATTGATGTGGTCGATGAAGTGGTAGATGAGGATATGCAAGAAATTTGTATGGATGAAGCTTTGCATGCGGTTCTACTCAATTCGGAGAATGAGGCAATGGATGGTTACATTGAAGCCGTGATGGCTTTGGAGGGACTTGGTTCCTACTCTTACAAGCCCGCAAAGTTGTCCCTTGATTTGGAGAATCAGGTTATTCCTCCTACTAAACCATCTATCATTGAGCCACCAAAGCTTGAGTTGAAGCCATTGCCTTCACATTTGAGGTATGAATTTCTAGGCCCTAATGAATCTTTGCCCGTTATTATCTCATCCTCTTTGTCTCGTGTGCAGGTTTCTTTACCTTTTGTATGCACAAGATTAACTTGGAGGAAGGGGTCAAGCCAAGTGTGGAACACCAAAGAAGGCTCAATCCTACTATGCAAGAATTGGTCAAGAAGGAAATCATAAAATGGTTAAATGCTGGAGTAGTGTATCCAATCTCGGATAGCACTTGGGTGAGTCCGGTACAATGTGTGCCAAAGAAAGGAGGGATGATCGTGGTTCTCAATGATAAGAATGATCTAATCCCAACAAGGATAGTCACCGGATGGAGAGTTTGCATGGACTATAGGAAGTTGAACAATGCCACCCGAAAGAATCATTTTCCACTCCCTTTTATTGACCAAATGTTGGATTGGTTAGCGGGAAGGTCTTTCTATTGATTTCTTGATGGTTACTCGGGCTACAACCAAATTCAAATTGCCCCTGAAGACCAAGAGAAAATAACTTTTATATGTCCTTATGGCACTTTTGCCTTTAAGAGGATGTCGTTTGGTCTTTGCAATGGCCCGGCCACCTTCCAACGATGTATGATAGCTATTTTCACCGACATGGTAGAGGATTTTCTTGAGGTATTCATGGATGACTTTTCCGTTGTGGGAGACTCTTTTGATTGGTGGTTGGATAACTTGGCCAAGGTGTTGAGAAGATGTGAAAAAACAAATCTTGTTTTGAATTGGGAAAAGTGTCACTTTATGGTGGAGGAAGGCATTGTGCTTGGGCATAAGGTGTCCAAAAAGGGTATTGAAGTCGATCCGGCAAAGATTGATGTTATTGCCAAGTTAACTCCTCCAAATACCGTAAAGGGTGTAAGAAGTTTTCTAGGGCATGCGGGATTCTATCGGAGGTTCATCAAGGACTTTTCAAGAGTGGTGAACCCAGTGTGTAAATTGTTGGAGAAAGATGCCAAGTTTCACTTTGATGAGGCGTGTATGGTTGCTTTTGAGGAACTCAAGCGATATTTAACAATCGCTCATATCATTCAAGCTCCTAATTGGGAGTTGCCATTTGAATTGATGTGTGATGCTAGTAATGTCGCCGTGGAAGTGGTGTTGGTCCAAAGAGTGGGCAAGCTTTTCCATCCCATTCATTATGCTAGCAAAATAATGAATGCCTCCCAAATGAACTATAAGATAACTGAAAAAGAATTTCTTACAATTGTTTATGCTTTTGATAAGTTTCGTTCTTATCTCGTAGGTTCAAAGGTGGTGGTACATTCGGACCATGCCGCAATCCGGTACCTTTTGGAAAAGGAGGAGTCCAAACCAAGGTTGCTTAGATGGATATTACTCTTGCAAGAGTTTGACTTGAAATTCAAGGATAGAAAGGGCACATAAAATCAAGTGGCAGACCGCTTGTCTCGTCTTGAGTTGGGGGGGGACCTTTGGAGGCCGAGGAGATCAATGAATCCTTCCCCGATAAACAAGTTTTTGCAGCCACAATTATAGTAGATGATGAGTTGCCATGGTACGCCGACATGGCTAATTTCTTGATGAGTGGGTTACTACCTCCAGATCTTCGTTCATACCAAAAGAAGAAGTTTTTGAGGGATAATGACTCCTACTATTGGGAGGAACCGTATTTGTTCAAGATATGTGTTGACAACATTATAAGAAGATGTGTTCCAAAAGAGGAAGGGATGACGATCTTGAGGGCTTGCCATGAATCTCCTTATGGTGGACACCATGGAGGAAATAGGACCGCGGCTAAGGTTCTTGAGTGTGGATTCTATTGGCCCACTTTGTTCAAATATGCCAACACTATAATCAAAGTTTGTGATCAATGCCAACGTCAAGGCAACATCTCAAGAAAGAATGAAATGCCTTTGAATCCGATTGTGGAGGTGAAGTTGTTTGACGTGTGGGGAATTGACTTCATGGGGCCATTTGTGAGCTCCTACAACAACAAATACATCCTTGTGGTAGTTGACTATGTGTCAAAGTGGGTGGAAGCCGTAGCTCTACCAAACAATGAAGCAAGAAGTGTCACCGCATTCCTTAAGAAGAATATTTTCACAAGGTTCGGCACTCCGAGAGCTATTATAAGTGACGGTGGTTCTCATTTTTGTAATCGATCGTTTGCCACTTTACTTGAGAAATATGTAGTCAATCACAAAGTTTCCACACCGTATCACCCACAAACAAGTGGGCAAGTTGAAGTTTTAAATCGTGAGATTAAGAGCATTTTGGCCAAAAATGTCAATGCCAATAGTACAGATTGGTCAAGAAAATTTGATGATGCTCTTTGGGGCTTATAGAACAGCCTACAAGACACCAATCGGCATGTTTCCATATAAGTTGGTGTTTGGAAAGGCTTGTCATTTGCCGGTGGAGTTGGAGCACAAAGCTTTGTAGGCCATGAAAAAACTCAACTTGGAATGGGTCGATGTGGCAAACTTAAGAGTCTCTCAACTTAATGCAGTGGATGAATTTCGGTTCCAAGCATATGAGAGTGCTTCATTATACAAGCAAAGAATGAAGTATCTCAATGACAAGAAGATCATGAAGAGGGAATTTCACCTGGGGGACTTGGTTGTTCTTTACAATTCTAGATTTAAGTTGTTTCCGGGTAAGTTAAAATCAAAATGGTCTGGGCCATTCAAGGTTGTGCATGCTTACCCATTTGGTGTCGTGGATTTGGAGTCTGGTGATGGTAAAAGGATCTTTAAAGTGAATGGACAACGGATTCGACATTATTTAGGTTCTATTAATACAAGAAGAGTGGTCTCGGAAGTTGAGTTGGGGGAACCCCCAATAACATTTTGAGTTGTGTTCGCTATGGTGTCGTGCCACGATGTTAAATGCGGCGCTTGGCGGGAGATAACCCATCGTTTTCAAGTTTTTAGTCATAAAAAAAAAATATAAAAATAAATAAATAATAATATATATATAATTTTAAGTTCTTTACGCATTTTGATTTTAAATTTTGTGTGTTTTTGTTCTTGTGCTTTGATGATTTTGATGTTTAAGTGTGTGAAGGTGAAGTGTTGGAGGAAAGGAAGTGACTCAATTTTTGCTAAGTGTGCAAGAATAGCTTCAGCTATAACAGCAACCCTGCGTAGTATTTGTGCGTAGGCAAAAACAGAAGCTTTTTAAAAAAAAAAAATTTAGCAACCTGATGATGATTTGCGCAAAGGCTACGCAGATTTGCACGTAGCCTACGCAGGTGACACATTGTAGCAAAAGTAAAGGCTACACACGAGGAGACCTTTTATGCAAATGAGGGTTTGACTAAAGTTGACCAATTCAAAATTTGGTCACCGGTAAGTATTTTCTTATTTTTAGACTTAAGTCAAACAATAATATAATCAAATCCCTTTCACCAGTTAATTTTATTTTGTTTACCTTTACCCTCACCCCCTCCTCCCCCACACACAATCTCTCTCTCTCTCTCCTCGTAACTTCTGGTTCCCACGCACACCCTACGCACTCCGCAACTTCTTTTTCTTCTCTGGTCAGAATCTGGAAACTCTAAGCATCTCAGGTATGTTTCAATCTCTTCTCTCTCGTTTCTCCTTTCATTCGTTGGTACTCCCTTCCCTCTCTCAGCTCTCCCGATTTCTCTTCTCCTTTTCTGTTCTTGTGGGTGAATCTCTTGCCGAGATTGTTGTTGTTTCTGAGAGTAACTGTTATTGGTTGTGATTGGGTGATTGTTGAATACCAATTGGATGGTGTAATTGTTGGGGTAGGGCAGTGAATTTTTGGTTGAAAAGTTCTGTCATGATTTTGCACTCAAAGTGTTTGGTTAATTGTCTAAGAGAATGTGTTCAAACATGGGAACTTTGACTTTGATTTTTGAGTAATCCTTGGTGTGTTGAAGCTTAATTCTTGTTGATTTCTCATTGTTCATGTGCTAGGAATAGAGTCGAACTTCAAGTTTATGCTAGTTTTGCTTAATTTGTAACAACCACGAAGTGCGAAGTTGAGTAGCATGAAATTGTTTGAATAAACTTAGTCGTGTAGGGGCAGTTCGAATGTGAATTATGGCTAGACCATAGATGTTCTGAAGGTGGATTATGGTTGATTTCTCATCACTACTTGTCATGACCCAAAATCCAACTAGCCGTGATGGCACCTAACCTCACTCGCTAGGTAAGCCCAATAACAATAATTCGATTCAATTAATATTTAACTTACTCTAATTCACTCCGCAGGGACTGGTACTACAAATCATGAGCTTCTAAAATTAGAAATTACAAAGCTGGTATGAAATAAATACATCATCTGTTCGAAATCTACATAAACAGATTTTTATAAATCTAAGGCTACCACGAACAAGAGACAGCTACAACCAGAACGTAGATACGTCTTCAAATCCAACTCTCGTCGATCACAGCAACATCATCATCCAATATCTGCACGCAAGGTGCAGAAGTGTAGTATGTGTACAACCGACCCCATGTACTCAATAAATAACAAACTAACCTTAGGTTGAAAGTAGTGACGAGCTGGTACAAAGGTCAGAGTCCAACTCCAATAACCAACATCAGTTCATAACAACATAACGCATGTAATAAAAGAAGTAACTCAAAGATAAAATGCTTAGCTTAATCTTGATTTCTGAAAATAGTCTGCCGTTCAAGTATATCCAGTGTTTTGAAAAGCGAGCGCTTCGTCGCTTTTANTTATGTATTTTCTTTTATCTTAATAGGGATTTAAAAATGTCCCAAAGTTTGAAAGAGAAAAACCTGACTTGGCGATATAGCGATAAAGTTGATGAGAAGAATAGTACAAATGTTGCATGCAAGTTTTGTAACAAGATTACAAAGGGGGTAATTTATCGCTTTAAATTCCTTCTTATTGGTGGCGATAGAAATGTCACAAGTTGTCCGAAATGTCCACCGGAGGTGAGGGATGAAATAAAGAATTTTGTTGAGAAGAAGAAGGAGCAAAAAAAATCAAATGAGTCATCAACCATTTGTGACCAATCTGATGATGATGATGATATTGAAGAAGGTGAAGGTTTGTCACTTCCAACAAAACGGGGAAGAGATGCTATCTCTTCAAGCCATGGATCGACGGGTACGAGTAGGACTAAAGGTCCTATATATTGCTATTTCCCAAAGAAGCCAGAAGCAAAGAGCGGTGGAAGCTAAGGACATTTTGAGGGATCGTGCAGTTAAAGCTTTTGCACGATGGGTCTATGATGCTGGGCTCCCCTTCAATTGTGTCAACTATACTGACACTTTTGGAGACTTTATTGAGGCCGTTGGTCAATATGGCCCTGGAATGAAGCCTCCCACTTATCATGAAATCAGAGGTCCTTATCTAAATAAGGAAGTGGAG